CTGCATCTAAGAAGTTTTTATGAATATTTCATTGCTTATGAAGATTGACCTTCTTACACATTTAGAGGAAATAAAAGGGTGAGACCACAGGAGAAAACGTTTGCAACTTAATGCGCGGAAATCTGGGGAAAAGCATCTCTGATCCATCTCCCTGAGATTTTTCTGTCTCAACAAGCATCAAATATACTCGGCTTAAGAATTAAAACAAACAAAACCCCAGCAGCACGTACATAAGCTGCCTGTGTCGGCAGCTCAACCGGGAATCAGAGGTTGAAAATGAGATTCTCCCGAGTATTCAGCACCAAAAACCAAAATCACCATCCTCCGACAGAATAATGCGATGGAAATCAACACCTGCCAGACCCACGCTGATAAATTTAGTCGGTGCTAAAAGCTGTTGTTGAATTTCAGCCTGAAGCTGGCTCCTGCTTGCCATGTGGGTGCCGTATATTTTTCTCTCATCTCTGCCTATTTATAAAGAACGGTAGGATTTATTAGTCCTGAAGGTGAAGCTCGGTTGAAAGGCTGCTGACTGCTGAATAATAGGAAAAAAAAAAATCATCTCGTGTGATTTTTTTCAAGCTTAAAATACTTCTGGAAGTAGCTACAGGCAAAATACACATCTTGTAACCTTTAAAATTTACTTAGTGCTTGTGCTTGCATAAAAATTCAGCCTCCTGAGCACACCTGCCATTTGATGTGAGCGGATTCGAAGCCGCCGTTTCATTTCCACCTTCCCGTGATGTTTTCGGCTGCTCTCTGCCCAACCCACGGGGGGAAAAAACAGGATTTCTTCACGGGGGTGTTGCTCCTGCGCGAGTTTTTTATCAAAGCTGGCAGGGGAGAGAGCCGGGCTCTCGCTGTCTGTCGCCCTGATGAGGGTTGAGTGCGGTGTTTCATCGATTTGTCGGGGCTAATGTGTAAATGCACAGCTCGGACGTGCAGCGAGTGATTTTTCACTCTGTAGTTAGCTTGGAGTAGTCATCTGCGTGGCGTTGCAGGCGAAGAATTTTGTCTTTTTTGAGCTGATTTTTATTTTTTTTTGCATTACTGCTCTTGAGCTTTCAAATGGACGATTTAAAATAGTTCAAAGTGGAGTCTCGGGTATAAAAATATTCTTTAAACGTGCCTTCCTTGTCCTTATTTTCATCGTTACTTGGGTAAAGAAGGCGGAAATGTTCTTTTCCTGCTCTGAAGCCACAGTTCAGTGGGAGAAGACCGGGAACCGTGTGGGAGTATAATTAGTACATTTAGCAAGATGAATCTGGAGAGAGGAAAAATAGGCCGGATAAATACGTTTGTGCTGTCAGAGTAATTAGTTAGGAAGTGTTTGAAAAGCTTCGCCAGCCTAAAATTTCAAATATAAGAAGTCAGATCTTCAAATATATCAAAAAAAGCAGGTCTTGAAGGTCCTCCATTACAAGACAAAGTGATGTAAGTAATGGCTTTTTTAGATATTTGGAATATTTTTGATATTGGAATTTAGGAGATAGTGAAAATAGTGTCTATTAGGGAGTGGAATGGAGCGAGGTAGTAAAAGCTTTTTCTTAGAATCAGTCTCCATCTCCGAGTTTGATCAGTGTTAAAACTTTTAATTTCTTCAGGGTTTGTCCCAAGGCTATTTGGCAATTTTTCGTTTTTAAACCAAACGTGGCAATATTTCACAGGGAAATTAGCCTGGTGTTGCTTGCTCTTGGCCATCAGACCTATTTTTCACCCAATACCTACATCCCAAAGTGATACATTTGGCCCGTGGGTTTTTTGTGATTTGCTAAATTGCTTGAACGTCGTAACGAGAGGACAGACATCAAGGAGATGTTAGAAGTGTGGTGTTTTAGAAAGAAAGGAGGATAAAAAAAAAAAAAATCTGTTCCTAAAACTGTCAGAAAAAATTATCAGAGGTATTAGTGGTTTGGAAACTCGACAAGCTGAGTTTGGGAAATTCCGGTTGCATGTGTCTGGTTGCTTTCGCCTTAAATTCCATCTCGGAAAAATGTAGAAAGATCACCAGGTTTCCTCGGAACAATGACACGGCCTCTGCCAGGAAAGGCATCAGCCTTTCCACTGGCTTAGAACTCCTGGAGAAAGACGTTCCTGCCATCTCTCCTCGAGATTTTCATGGATATTCACGTTATTAGAGGTGAACCCTGTTGAAGTCGGTGCAGCCCGTGAGGCTTCCTGCTGCCTCCCCATCAGTGCAGCCTTTTCGAGGAGTTTCAATAAGAACTCAGGAGATTTAGAATTACTTTCTCTTTTTTTTTTTTGTAAGCTGCAGGTAAGATTTTAAGCTTTAGGTAACAACCCTGTGCAAAATGAGTTCCGTGGGCAGCGCGTTCGTGGCTTGGCAACAGATTGATGTTGTCCTCCAAATGTTTTTCAAAGGTGTTCTGGTTTCTAAGAGGAGCGCACAAAACCGTGACTGTGGTTTCAAGTGGAGAGAAAAAAAAAAGAAAAAGATTTCCTGGCTCTCCAAACTTGTATTTTAATTATTTTTGCAAGTGAAACGGGATCACTTTGAAAGAAGCTGCCTCTGCTCCCAGCCATGTCCTCTCCGCGGTCGCTCACCCTCGATTTTTGGATCCTGGGAGGGTGGCAGGTCCCGTGCGCCTTCCAGACGTCTGCGCAGTCGCCTTAAAATTGCGAAGCTCCGGACAAATGAATGAATCTTTTAAAACGCCTGCTGCCTCGCTGCCGGCGCGCGTCTGCCGGGCTTTGATGCGAGGGTTATTCTTGGAGGGAGAGCAGAAGGGAGCTTGCAAAGCCCCTTTGGAGGGGAGGGGTGAGAGTGGTTGGTCTGTTCTTCTTAACCCCTGTCCTGGAAGACGAATCCACCCACGCAGGGCTGTAACCTGTGAAACCACCAAGCTTTTTGTTTAGGACTCCTGGATGTGCGGTGCCGTAGCTTGGCCACCCTCCTCTTCGCTCTGTTTATCTCTACGAGAGGAATAACCAATAAATCATCCTCTGCAGGAGACTCCTGTAATCACTGTCTTTATCTGCGAGCTTACCCGAGATGAGCTGCTTTTTCTCAGACGGTGGGAACACCACATGAACTGGAAGCATCTTTAAGCTCATCCTGCCCGTATACATACCACCAGTAAAGTTTTGGCTGCCCTGGGTGGCAAAATTGGGCACGAGCGAGGTACGCGACTTCGTTGTGTCTTTCAAGCTGTGACGGTGATGCTGTCGCTGTTGATACCGTGAGATCCCGCCCGCTCTTGGAAGTTTCCAGTTTATTTTAATTACCCATCGTTGGGTAGCTCGTTGTGTTGGGAACTGCAGCTCTTGCGAGGTGACGCGGTGTGAATTCGCTGGTAGAGGGAAGATTCCCTGCCCGCTCCGGGGTTTAACATTTCAGTTTATATATCATATACCAAGTATGCTGGTTAACTCTTCAGTCAGTTACCATAAATGCTATTTACAGATCGTTTCAGCTCTCCCTCACGATACTGAAACTGTTGCAGGGCTATCCTGGAGACCCTGCTGGCTCTGGCCCGTCCCTTAGAAGACGAAATTTGATTTCCCAATTTTGGACTCGACTGAATTCTGCCCCCGAATCATGGTCAGAGTGTGCTAAGGTCAAGAGAGGCTTTTGCTTCTCGTGAAGGAGCTGTGGTGTGCGTTTTGTAAGGGAGGCTGCTTGAGGAAAGGCTTTTAAGCACCGTGACATCCGGAGTTTTGGAAAGAACGATAACGCGCGTCGATTAACAAAACAAAATTATGCCGCCTGGAACGGAATATTCACCTTGCAGAGTATTTTGCTGCAGGGCAGTTGTGTTACAGGATAACACCAATAGATTTTCCTGCGTGAACAATTCTACTCTCTGTCTTTTAGCAGACACGAGTTGTCCAGTGACCTTTTACAACTTTTCTCTGAGAGGTGATGCCATTCAGCCTTACTTTTAACTTGATCCATCCCTTTTTCTACCCCGCGTTGTGTTGGGCAGAATCAGGCCTTGAAGATGTTCAGGGAGCTGCTGAGTTCTGGTTTTCTCTTACAATCGTTAAAATACAGCATTTGGTGATTCTTCTTCTCAATCTTATGTTTATTTTTCCTTTCACTTACTGCTTTTTTTTTTCATTCTTGGCTAATTCTGATTTTTTTGCAGCCTTACATTTTTACGTACATGTTTTTTTTCTTGTTCCAAAGCGACCTTTGTGTGAAAAGCCTTGGACTCTTCTTGAGCACTTTTTTTTTTAACCTGACATCATTTCTGCTTAAGAAAAAAGCGAATAACTCTTCTGGCTTTCACTGCAATTTCATGTCCATTGTATAAGGAGTAAAGACAGCGGTGATGGCTGGTGTGTGCAGAGGGGTTGAGATAAATCTCGTCCTGTTGACGTGATACATTTTAAGTGCAGGCTGTCAAGACTAGTGGGAGTAGCAGGACTAATAGCAGGACTAGTGCTCGGTCCATCTGCAGGAATGACACGGTTAAATCTCTCCTTGCTGCTCTGAAGAAAAGCCCACCCTGATGTTAATGACTCTACGTGATGGATGGTAAAAACTCTCTTCTGGTGGTAAATGGCTTGAAAACACTGAAATTAGGAGATAGCCTTTGTTATCTAATATCTGCCTGAACACATAAAATAAAAAGCTGCATAAAATCGGAGAGGGATTCGCTGCTATCTGGTCCGTGAGTACGTACAGAGGTATTTTCAGTGAACGGTTCTTTTTGCAGACTTCTAAGCTGAAGCTCCAAACAGTTTGCCTTCTCCCGGTTGCTCGATGTTGGACGCATATTTTTATTTTTACACCATTAGGTGAGATGCCAATTGGATTAATGGCACGCGTGAGCCGCGAAGGCTGAATATTTTCTGTCTGACGACTCCAGACAGACGAGCGCTTCCCCGATTCCCTGATACTCAGCATGTCTTGGAGCAAGTTGCTGTGAATGTTGTGCTTCATGCATTATTACATGCCTGGCTTAGCCCTGCTCACTGACCTGCTCTTTCTCTCTCCCTCTTTTCTCCACCCCCTCCCCGCTCCCTTGGTGTAGCTTTCGCTCCCGGAGGAACAGAATGAAGTAACGAGAAACGGCTGCGAATCCAAGGAACTGGTCTACCTTGTGCAGATCTCTTGTCAGGTAAACGCTGTGTTTATCTCCCCTCACCTCCTTTTTGCAGACTGGATTGCATCTCGTTGGGCAGCGCAGCCTCGTCGTATTTTGATGCGACGCTTTTCGGCAGCGCGTGGGGTTTGGTGATGTTTTTTTTTTTATTTCCGCTTTTTCGCTGGCCCGCTCCTCCGAAGGATGCTGTCTGTGGTACCGCCACCAGCTGATTTTAAGAATCGAGGGGAGAAAAAGGAGCCTGCTCAGCAAATAATCCTCGCTGCAGCTTGTGCAGAGCTGCGCGATGATTAGCCTGGAGACGCCAGCGTGCCTGCTCGGGCTGTGCCTGTCAACTGGGGGGGATAGTGTGCATTGACACACAGACACACCAGCCAGACTAACGGAGGATTTACAGCCCGGGACATGGGGATTCTTCGTTTCTCCTCGCTTGTGTCTCCAGACATCTGGTACAAAAGTCTTTTCATGGCTGCTACTGTGGTATCAAAACGCTTGGGGCAGATAAATGCACCCGAAGATTCCCCATCTGCTGGTACGGGGATGGTGACTCTGTAAAATGCTGCGTGATAGATAATCGTATTTTAGTGGTGTTGAACAAAATTGTTGGTGGCTGCACCGACAAATCCCACTGAGATTCAATGCCTGTGGTCATTTCTTAGCATTTCAGATATTTTCACGCTCCATCTCGGCGCTTCCCGAGCGTCCCTCGTTGCGATTCGTGCAGAACTTCCCTGGGAATCGCTGTGCTGTCTGTCTCTCTTTTCAAAGCTCTGGTTTGAAGGTGGAGCTTGGCCTGAGCTGAGCTGTGTGACAGCAGCACACAGAATAATTCCTCTCTGTTGTCAGAGGTGTAAGCACACACATACACGGATTTTGAAATAGTGCTCTTGGGAGAGGGAAGAGAGGCTGAAAGGGAACACTGATTTTCAGGGAGACTTAACTGCCCCATGGATGCAGAGGCTGTGAACCGTGCCGAGAAGCTCTGTTACTTCTTTGTCAGTGTTACAGGACTCATATATTTTTATTTTATTTTATTTTTTTACGTAATCCTTCTGGCTAGCTAGCATTCCTCCCCACCCCGAGCCAATTCTCACATGTCAGTCTGTGCCCTTGTCTCTCAGATACAAAACTTGAGGCATCTGGATGCGACGAAGGGAAGGGCATGGAAGGAGCTGCACAGCTGAGCATCGTTTCTACCGTGGAGATACTTCACCCCTGACATCTCACGGCCTCTCCTAATGTCCGGGGAAAGATTCCATTCCGTCATGTGTTGGATACCAGCGGTGTCTGGGTGGATTTGGCTCCGCGGTAGAATTGAATGGGAGGTGTGAAATAGCTCACGGGGAGAGATTTTGGCAGGACGTGTCTGTATCAGGCCAAAAATGTTGAAAGAGGGAGGAACAAAAAGAATATAAACCAAATTTTGCCTCGCTCACCCTTCGGGTGTTGGCGTTGAGGCACCTGCAGCAGCTCGTGAAGATTTTGATTTCTCAGGTGGACACAGAGAAAAGGAATTTTGTTAAGGCTAAACCCATGCTGATTTAAAAGCTTTATGATGTTTGGGATTCGTTGCCAGAACAGATAGCACAGGGAATGGCCGTTCTGGCGATTTTAGGTTGTGGACCTTGGAGGAATAAGCTAACCCCCAGCCTTGGGGTTGAAATGCGTTGTGCTGCTGCCTGGACTGTGCAAACACAATCTGTGTGTTGTGCGGTCCATAAAAAGACATTTGTCATTTCGCTCTGGAGCGTACAACAAACCAAAGCTTTTGAACGTAAAACTTCTAAAGCATCCAGCTTAGTCTGAGCTGTGTTTGGCAGACCACAGCTCAGCATTTGCACTGAGGAAATTCTACCCCACTCTTTTCCCATCTGTAAGTATAATTTTAGTGGTGTAAAGAGAACGATTGTTTGGTGCCTATTTCGCAAAACCTTCCCAGATAAGGTTTGAAAAACAGTTTTTGGGGAGTTGTATCTGTGACACATTTCTGCTGCAAGTCAGCTTGTGAAATACAAGCTTTGTGTGAGGTTCAGAGGGGTTTTTATTAAGTCTCTTTTCAGCTTTTCTTCTACTTAGAGACCTCAAAAAATTAATCCGGTTTATTAGCTCTTAAGAAGAAGTGGGAATACATAGAGAGCTGATCCAGGTGTTTATGAAAAGTGGAAAGATAGGATTCTTTTGATTTCTTTGAACAGATTTGAACGTGAGAACTAGCAAATGACAAAGGTGGGATTTTAGATTTTATTTGGAAGAGCTGCTGATGGGGGAATTTGGTTTGATTTGGTTTTTTAGAGCAAGTAAGGTGGATTTTCCACTTTTTTCCAAGTCAGATTGTGCTGTTTCACTTACTTCTGCAAGATTGTTTTCAGTTACTGTTGTTGCAAGAATTCTGGAAATTGTTATTGAAATAAGTGTGAACAATGGCAAAAAAAGGGATGGATGGATGGATGGATGGATGGATGGGATCATGGATGATGGATGGATGGATGATGGGTGGATGGGATCATGGATGATGGATGGATGGAGGATGGATGGATGGATGATGGATGGATGGAGGATGGATGGACGGATGGATGGATGGAAAGAAGATTTTAAATAATCTACAAAAGCTTGGAATCTGAGCAAGGTCACCTGTGAGCTGTGAAGGTCCTTTGGCAGCGTTTGGAATCCTTGGGGTGTCCTGCAAGGGAAGAGCAAAGAATTTGCAAGACATTTAAAGGGGGTTACTGTGTGTGTTGAGAATAACTCAGTAAAAGTAAGAGCCCACGAGAAGGTTGAAGTAGGCTAATCCAGGCAGCATGTTTTGTTGAGTTGGAGAGCAGGCTCAAAATGTGCCTTTTTAAATGGTTTTGGATTTGTTTGTGCAAGGTTACAGCAGCAACTACCTGTTTATTTAAATATTAATGTAAGAATGGGCAGTCTAAGGTGAAGAACAAACGAAATCAAATGCAAGCAGGACTAATTACAGTGTGGGATTTGCAATATTTCAGCATTTCAGACATAATTTTTTTGGTGAAATTTGGAGGAGTGGTGAGGAGAGAACAAGAAACCAGTTGGGAAAATACTCGAGTTCTAAGGGAGGCCTTCAGCTGTAGCTGCCTCTGGTGGTTGTTATTGTTCCTTTTCATTATCACAGGTAGACTGTTGAAACAGAAATGACAGGCACTAGAAACCAGAAATGTCAGACTGTGCAAGCATGAGTGATATTTAAGAAAAAAAGTCTTAGGACTGGATAGACCCTTAAATACAGACTGACTGTTGCGAGCTCAGAACCAAGCCGCGCTCCCTCCTGCTTTTCATGGGGTCGTGCCAGCGTCCTGCAAAAGAAACCTCTTTCTGCTGCGACCTTAGGTAGGTTTCTAAGGCTGTTCTCAAAGCAGGAAGCCCTTGTGGTCCAAGCATTGGGTTTTCTCTATTTTTTTGCTTGAATTTGAGCTGCCGCACGGGATACCCGGTGCTTTGCCCTGTTTTTTATCGGAGACAGCCCTCACCAGCTGGGCTGCGTTGCTTTTGATTGATAGAATAAGGTCTCTGATGCGCTAGATGAAGGCGTTTACGCAAATATATGCCCCTCGTGTCTCCCAGCTCTGCCTTGCAGGAGGTTTGAGCTCGGTAGCTGCTGTTTGAAGGAGGGAACAGCGTTTGCAAAACTCCGAAGGCGACCCCATCCAGCGTTCCACGGCTGGGAGCGTGGTTGCAATAATAAGTGCTTCGAGGGCAGCGGTGAGAATGCCAGGAAAAAATGGGATCCGAGGAGGAAGAACAGGCAGGACTCCCCATCCTGGGTGGTTTGTGGGGGGAAGAGAGTGGAATATATTTTCAGAGAAGCAAATATCTTACTCAGACTACTGACGACTCGAGTACGGTTTGCTGGTTCTGCCTGCCTGGGACCACAAATTGCTCACAGTAGGATTTTTGACTTGGGCATTCGAAAAAAACCTTGTATGGTTTGTGAGGGGGTTTTTTTTGTGTCTTAAAGGCTTGTTCTTTAATGCATTAATAGTTTCATTTTGCGCGATTGAAGTTCCAACACCTGGAGCAAGCACTGCTGACATTCCTCCTGTAAAAAGCTTTAAACGGGTGACTCTAAGGGCTAAATTCGGTTTTCATAGCCCTGCCTGCTTGTGGGGACCCTCTGATACTAAAGCTTTGCTTAGAAGGACTCAGGAAAATTATTCTGGTTGGAAATGTATTAAAATGCTGGTCACTGTCACGCCAGCTTGTTTTCTGAACTCCTTTTCTGACATTTGGTACCAAAAGCAAATCACACCCTCCGTTCATGGTGGGATTTGTGCGTAGCTCTGGGATTCACACGAGCAATTTAGACCCGTAACAATGGAAGGAGCAGTTTTTAAGGTAAAGAGGATTTTTGCCCTCTCGCTGCCTTTTATTTCTGACACGGAGTCAGGCGGCCGCTGAGCAGATTCCGTGCTGCTGCGTGAAAATCTCTGCGTGTAACAAGAGATGAAGAAGAAAGACTGTAGATCTTAAAACTTTGGAATTCTTTTTCTCCAATTCTTCTTTTCTCTGCTTGAATATGTATTGGGAAGGAAACGGGACTGGCGTGGTTCTTTCTTGCTCTCTCCTGTGGATGGTTGAGATGCAAGGTTCTAGCCTTGCGCGGATTTTGAACGGCGTGATTTATTTACCGAGCGACTCCGCAGAGATCAATACTGTCATGGAGCTGCTGGTGCTAAAGCACATTCCTTCAGCAGGTGCAAATTTCGCTGCGTTTCAAGCCGTCCCTTCAGAAAACCAAAGACAGAAGCTTGCTGTGCTCGGTGCTAACGGCTCCAATGATCAACTCCAGCAGAGAAACGCTTGGGTGAATTTATGTGAGGATGGTTTTTACTGGGCAAAGAGGGTATCTGGAAACGGTCCCTGCAAGATAGCAGCCTACCCGTTTGCTGCCATGCAGTTGGTTATTTGTGAAAGGCAACGGTGAGTGATTTACGGCAACCTCTGGCTTTCACGCGCTCTTCAGATGGTTTTCTGGGATGGAAACCTGCCAGGCG